GCTCCCTGTATCCCCCACCCCTGTCTGCTCCCTGTATCCCTGTCTGCCTAGCCTGTATCCCCCACCCCTTGCTGCTCCCTGTGTCCCCACCCCTGTCTGCTCCCCTGTATCACCCACCCCCTTGCTGCTCCCTGTATCCCTGTCTGCCTAGCCTGTATCCCCCACCCCTTGCTGCTCCCTGTATCCCTGTCTGCCTAGCCTGTATCCCCCACCCCTTGCTGCTCCCTGTATCCCTGTCTGCCTAGCCTGTATCCCCCACCCCTTGCTGCTCCCTGTGTCCCTGTCTGCCTAGCCTGTATCCCCACCCCTTGCTGCTCCCTGTATCCCCCACCCCCTTGCTGCTCCCTGTATCCCTGTCTGCCTAGCCTGTATCCCCCACCCCTTGCTGCTCCCTGTGTCCCCCACCCCTGTCTGCCTAGCCTGTATCCCCCACCCACTGTCTTCTCCCTGTGTCCCTGTCTGCCTAGCCTGTATCCCCCACCCCCTTGCTGCTCCCTGTATCCCATTCCCCAACTCCCCTTGGTGCCCAGCTTGTATATACAGTATCGAGGCTATAGTTCTTTATTTCGGTACCTGGTAGCCCATACAAAAAGTTAATTAGAAACTAGTTGGCACGTTGTTGGCAAAGGATGTCGGAACACCATGCTGTGGCATAATGCAGGCAGCTACTGACTCGGCAATCCTACTTCACCGTAAGGCGCTTTGTATATTTTTTCAGTTTCACAGTGTTTTTCCAGAATTATTTTTTGGGTTGGTCTAATAGAAATTATTAATACGTCAACATGTTTTCTTTCCTTATGTGTCTTATATCAATTTGCTTTTTAAAACATTTACAAACACTGTCCACGTAAAAACAAGTACGGTATATAATGGCCATTGTGGGAACATGCACACCTAGTCCAAAATCTTTTTCCCCAAACCCTAACTCCCATGGTTGCAAAAGGCTTCATTTCTTGGTATTTTCAGAATACCTTTAGGGGGTCAGTTAAAAAAGAAATGACTGAACAAAAATCCATTTCTATTGTTTTTGTACAACATTGTGTTTTATATCCCAGCCGGAGTATAACTGCCCTTTCACCTGCTGACAGTAGTCTTGGTATCAGCAGCTCTGGGAGGATGGTGTCAAGCGGAAGATGGCCATGGTGCGCACCTCGCCATTATTCCTAACTCCTAGAGTGAGCTAATGGAAGCAGGGTTTGACAGTTATTACCACAAGGCTGTTTATCTTACAGTTAGTCCAAATGTATGGCATAACAAGGAGCAGAGGCTGCCATTTTTACTGACAGACATTCAGGAAGATACAGATGCTGTTTGTGAGTGACGGATGCTGTTTGTGAATGACATGTGTATGCAAACACTAAATAGCTTCTGTCAGTAAATATTACATAGTGTCCATGCTTGTCAGTCATCAAGAAGCAGTCTTATAGCGTGCAATGTGATGGTGCGATTGTTAGCTGCAATGCTTAATGGATGTTCTGAAGGAACACGTTGTGTTTTCTAGTCCGTTCATCTTGATGTGAAGCAAATTTGGTGATAGTGAGGATGGTAGTCAGTCTCAGTCCTTGAACCACATTATTTTCCCTACTACCAAGCCCTCCCTACAATGCTAAATCCCTAATTGAAGCAAGTCTAGATTTCATCAGGTTCTGAATCTCCCATCTCACTAGGCTCCTTTTCAATATAAATGGGTTTATTTGTTACTATCAAAATTATATACATTCAGAAACTAAGTGTTGATCTATAACGATGGTAGTGCTCTTTTGAAACAAAATAAATCAGTACTATAAAAATAGAAGTAACTGTTTTTTCAACTCCTAAAACAATTTATATTTTTATTTTCACACATTTTCTTCCTTGTTCAACCCTACGGTCTCTTCTAGACTGTGTTATCACCTGCCCTGTGATGCTGCGCTACTTCTATGCTGTAACCTGTATGCTCCGCCAGGTACATTCTTATCTGCTTATTTCTCCCACAAGAAAGTTTTTGCCTCTCACACATTCTTGAGTTTCTAATTTGATCTCACTGGCAGGTAGTGACGACCTTTCCACTTGGTAGTGTTCCACTTCCTCCCTGTTCTTGCTGAGAGTCATGTAGGTCTTGGATTGAAACCTGACAACTTGTCAGCCACTGTGATCTGCTTTATCTTGGGGGAACGTGTTTGTTTTATTTACAGCGTTCTGATGTTGTTGACGAATATAGATGTGTATGATTGCACCCAGCCCTTAAACTCACAAAGATGGAATCAAATCAAAGATCGGACAGTGTCAGACTACGGAAGGAAAGTTCAGCTTTGATTTCCTTTCAAAGAAACAGATTTCTTCCCAGTTGCATGTTTATTTCAATATTGCTTTTTTCACTGATCATACGTAAGCTAGCACTTTAACACTAAATTTATATTTTTTGTAAGTTTACTTTCTTACTTATTGAATAGTTCTCAATGAAGCCAGGACTGTCATGTCGATATCCATGTCCTGATTTATGGGATTGTAAGATCTGGTAACTTGAAGTACTTTTCCTGACAAGCGACTCTCATAGTTTGGGCATTTACGGAAGTGTATACGTCAAAAACCCCAATGTGGTCATTGTGTAAATCCTTGAAGGAAAAATATGATCAGGTAATTTTATTACAAGGATAAAATGAACAAGGCTAACTTCAACGCATTAAAACTCTGTGCCATTGGCCATTGTCCAGGGCAGCAACTGACACCCCAGCAATACTACTACCGGTATAAGCCAGTCAGGAAGTCAGGTAGTTGGGCGGGGCCTACTTCTGTCTGGATTGTGTTAACGTAAACATTTGAAAATTGCCTGGTTATCCAGTGTCATGGAATCACTTACAGTTTATTAAATATGATAACACAATAAGCTGCCATGTTGACCTTATGTTTGGAAAAAATGGAAATAAAAATAATTAGAATGTCAATCAAAGACCTTAATGTACAAACAGACCTAGCAAGGAATCTGTTGTAAACACTAGACTGAACATAAACAGCCATGTACAAGGAAGTGATCAGCTGAGCTTGTCCTCAGTAAACAGGGCCCCTTTAAAACTGGAAAATCGGGAAACATTGTGATAGAAGTGATATTACTTTGGATTCATGAAGGACGTCATATTGTAGAGTGTTACCTAAGTACCCTTTGATCTGATCTCTTGTTATTGAGCTGCCAGACCATGAGGTATCCCAGCTCCGTGGAGGATCAGCTTCCACAATGGTCATGTTTGAACACGGAAATGTGTAGAATATTTACAAACCATTCCTGTTTTGAACAGAAATGTGTGGAGCATTTACAGGCCATTCCAAATCAGCTGAGTATTTAGAAACTCCTTGTCAGTACGGCTTACGAAGTGGATGGTGTTAACTCCTACTGACATATAATCTGTCAGGAAATAGTGGAGGAAATATGGCACACATGTTCAGCTGTGAGTTGGTGTGACTGGCTCGACTTCTAAAGTGTGGCTACCATTACTAGTCAGAGAATAAAAACGGGAACCACTTTCTGTAATGTTGCTTGGAATGGCTGGTGTATTAAATTACATAATTCTACAAGTGATGTGAGCAAAGGCCTTGGCCATGTGTCCTCCCTTGTACACAGAGTTATAATTGGTGTGTTGATTCCATCATATCATCACAGGTTTATCTAGAACAAGCTTGTTTCTACACAGCCCACGATGATATAAGTCATGTTGCTGTCGAAGTTACACCCAATCAACAATGTTCATGCTTGGATTAGACAGATCTGGCTTTTATGATGATGATCCATGGTGAAAATATTTTTAGGAGGAGAGGCTGTCAAATGAAAATGCAGCACAGCAGATCATCATTTTGTGTGATCTGACATTAAATTATTATGAGAAAATAAAATAGCGCTTTACCACAAGGCACTAAATCTTCATGAATTGCATTGCAGATCCCCCAATTAGCCAATTTTATTAAGGAAAATCACGTTTTTGCAGTAAAAACCAATTTTGTGAAAAAAAATCTTGCCAAATTCAATTTTCAGCAAAGACATTGGAGAATTACAGCAGGCAGTGTTGGGAGTTGTGTTACTCGTCTGACATTTCAAGGAAAGCATGTGAATCTGCGCCATTCCCTTGTTCCATTAGCAGGGAGCGCAGTGCAGGAGTGGGGGACTATTGGATTATATAATCCTCCTTCGGTCGCCATCTCATCACTAGAACAAACACTAAGTCAGCAGTGATATTGCCAGGCAGTCTTTGAAATTGATCCAGACTTGGGGAAGAGACAAAGTTGGAAATACCTTGAAAGTGGGGGGTTACTGCTGAGGAAAGGCAATGCCTCCAAAGTGAGGGGATAACAGAGGGAAGGCAATACCTCCAAAATGAGGGTTTAACAGAGGGAAAGGCAATTCCTCCAAAATGAGGTTTTAACATAGGAAAACAATACCTCCAAAGTGAGGGGATAACAGGGAGGAAAACAATACCTCCAAAGTGAGGGGATAACAGAGGAAAAGGCAATGCCATCAAAGTGAGGGGGTAACTCAGATAGGAAAGCACTGCGGGATCGAGTTAGGGTATGGATTTTGTCACACAGGCAAGAGAGGGAAGTATGAGATCAACACATGACTGACGGTGATAATGCTGAGATAACTCAGGAAATTGTAAATGGAAATTGAAATTACACAGTACAGATCCTAGTCAATGTGAAAAGCACTATATATTGACATATATATACTACATAAAACTGAATGTAAGTCTGTTGTCAAATGTTGACATGAGAGGTCAGATGTGTTATACCTGGTTCTCCATGGATCTACAGCCTTGCTGTATAGACTCTCACCTCTTTAAACAACCAGTGAGTGTTAGCGTGATATGGTATTCAGATAAATAGGGCATTAGTGGAAGCGGGGACATTAGCCAGTAATTACCCACATTAACTGGCTCAACTAATCTATTACTTCATTCACAACTTCTTGCAGCCATCACATCAACTGCTCATTTGTTCTAACATAAATTAATTCTGAGTTTTTCTTTTTCCAGGACATTTAGTCTACAGCGGTCCAAATTAGAGAAAGAATATGCTCAGGTGAGTTCTAACATTTCATAGTTAGTTTGTACAACTATAATAGGTATGTTTCATGCTTAACCATGGCCCACTTCACCAACATGTAAACATGACCCACTTCAACATGTAAACATGGCCCACAACTGACAGTATCTGCCCTTCACCTACATGTAAACACGACTCACTTCAACATGTAAACAGGGCCACACCAACATGTAAACACGACCCACTTCAACATGTGAACATGACCCACTTCACCAACATGTAAACATGACCCACTTCAACATGTAAACATGACCCAATTCACCAACATGTAAACATGACCCACTTCACCAACATGTAAACATGACCCACTTCACCAACATGTAAACATGACTCACTTCAACATGTAAACATGGCCCACTTCACCAACATGTAAACATGACCCACTTCAACATGTAAACATGGCCCACTTCACCAACATGTAAACATGACTATAATAGGTATGTTTCATGCTTAACCATGTAGCTGACAGTATCTGCCCTTCACCTACATGTAAACACGACCCTCTACAACATGTAAACAGGGCCACACCAACATGTAAACACGACTCACTTCAACTTGTAAACATGACCTACTTCACCAACATGTAAACATGACCCACTTCAACATGTAAACATGACCCAATTCACCAACGTGTAAACACGACTCACTTCAACACGTAAACAGGGCCACACCAACATGTAAACACGACTCACTTCAACATGTAAACATTACCTATTTTACCAACATGTAAACATGTCCCACTTCAACATTTAAACAGGGCCCACTTCACCAACGTGTAAACACGACTCACTTCAACACATAAACATGACCTACTTCACCAACATGTAAACATGACCCACTTCAACTTTTTTAAACAGGGCCAACTTCACCAACATGTAAACGGGGCCCACTTCACCTACATGTAAACACATCTGACTTCAACATGTAAACATGACCTACTTCACCAACATGTAAATACGACCCACTTCAACATGTAAACATGACCCAGTTCACCAACATGTAAACATGACCCACTTCACCAACATGTAAACACGACTGACTTCAACATGTAAACATGACCCACTTCACCAACATGTTAACATGACTCACTTCAACATGTAAACAGGGCCACACCAACATGTAAAGACGAGTCACTTCAACATGTAAACATGACCTACTTCACCAACATGTAAACATGACTCACTTCAACATGTAAACAGGGCCAACTTCACCTACATGTAAACACGACTCACTTCAACATGTAAACATGACCTACTTCACCAACATGTAAACATGACCCACTTCAACATGTAAACATAACCCACTTCACAACACGTAAACACGACCCACTTCAACATGTAAACATGGCCCACTTCACCAACATGTAAACATGGCCCACTTCACCAACATATAAACATGGCCCACTTCACCAACATGTAAATATGGCCCAGTTGGCCAACATATAAACATGGCCCACTTCAGCATGTAAATATGGCCCACTTCACCAACATATAAACATGGCCCACTTCACCAACATGTAAATATGGCCCAGTTGGCCAACATGTAAATATGATCCACTGTATATTGTACACCATTGTAACTCTGTGTAATGTCTAGAAGTTAAGCACTGTTGATAACACCAATGTCTGTGTTAACCTCTAGACATTAAACATTGTATATATAGTACGACCACTGTAGATCTGTGTTCACATCTAGAGGTTACAACACTATATAGACAAAGTACAACTGATCGTCGCTCTGTGTCCAAATCCAGCGGCTACAACAGTCAGTGCTTGCAGATATCTCTGCATTTCTTAAATCAAGAAAGGAAAGTCCCATCAGGGTTATACAGCAGCTCTTTGTGCCACAGTAACCAGGTCACATGCAAGGATCATCATTGTCAACAGGCGCCAGCCACTTCCATACTGGTCAATAACAATTTACAACACCCATCAACACAGTAGAATAGAATTAAGTTAGTTTCATTATACAGCGTTGTTCAAATAACATGTTTGTGGGCAGTTTTTCCTGGTATTGATTGGTGCACGTATCCATTAATCAAGTTGGCACTGATGGTGTGTTGTGTATGTGCCTTGTATTGTGGTGTTATACCATGGGTGATTGTGGTGTCGTGCTCAGTACGTGTCGGCCACAAACAAGATGTGGCCTATTCTCCGAGTGGTCATGTCTCATCTTCAAGTGAATATGTGTTGGTTGAAACTACCAAATACATCGGAGCAAATGTGTGAAATACAAGTCTTGAATAGGTCATTCAATATGCTGTTTTCCCTAGATAGGAGTTATGTGTTGTAAAAAACATTTCGTGAGATTTGATTGTGGCTATCAGAGTCCATTGGGTAATTGCACATTTGGCAGTTCTTTTTACTGCCTTTGCAGCTGAGCAGAATGGAAGTGAAGTGAGCTTGTGTTGTGGCCTGCTTCTCTGTCTTCCTCCATAAACATCCTTCCTTCAGAAACCACGAGATCAGTGAAGCGAAATAGCACATGCTTGTTTACACTAGTGATGACAACCAATTTCATTTAAACCATTTGATTTTGATTTTCAATATGGCCGTAATAGCAGCCATATTGAAAAAACAATTATGGCATTTTTGTCAGAATATTATTAAATGTGGGACGTGTCATTAGCAATGGGCTCAACATATGTGTTCTGGTTTCTTGAAATATTAATATTTTTACCTTGATATAGATTTTTGCACTTTCACATCTCCTCTCAGTTGCAAGACTGATATCGGTTTATGCTGTTGCTAAAATCTCCATAAGAGCTACAATGCCATGGCTTTTGTTAAATGCAGTATCAAATATTCAAAAGTATAATCTTTCAGATTTTTTCAAAGATTATTAATGATCATTCCATCATTCCCTGTCAGCCACATATTTGATCAAGAGTTATCTGCCATTAGAAAGCTGGAAAATTGATGACTGGACAAACACCAATATTAACTCTCCAGCTTCTCACTCAGTATTAAAGGACTAGTGAAGAGTCAAATGGGTGGTGCACTTGCATGATGGATTCAATCCCAAGGTTCTGGGCCCTTATTCTCTAAACGTTCATAGCCCTAAGAATTCTTAACTTTGATCTTAGCCAATGTGTTAAGAATGGTCTTTATAAATTTGTAGGGCTACGAACGTTTCGAGAATAGCTAGCCCTGATGTGAAACCATTCTTTTGTGGAAATTCATGTGACGCAAGGAGCATATATCAATTTGGCCAAGTTGTTGCCAAGAAGCAGCTCAATAATTTTTAAGAAGTTCCCGTTTGCCATATGACATGATCTGTCTGCACCAGGTTCGAGAGTTTCTTGGCTGGATGGTCTTGCTGTTTGCTGCTTGCTGCTGTGGAGATGAAGATGACATTAAAGGCTGACCAGGCTTGACATTCAGGAACATATTACCGGTGTGGGTCCAGACACTGTAACTTGTTCCTGGGGTGCTGCAGAGACACTTCTCTGTCGGTTTAATTAGGACATATGGTTTTTGGTGGATGTAACTAGACAGTCAGCTCTCAGTTAGCCAGGAAGTGATGCTGTTGGATGAAAGGTCCACATGGTAGGACTGTGTCTGTCGGTGCTGTGACTGCATGTACACTATCTCCTCTCATCTGGCTCATCATACAACCTGGTTGGACTGGAGGTTTCTGGAAGAGATGGAAGATCTCATGGAGATTTGGGATCTGAATAGATCCAACACACCTGAGGTTTGTTGTAGGCTGATTGAGGGATGTGGGGATAGTGTGGGGATAGTGTCCTGGCTGTGTGAGTCAGTGTGGGGATAGTGTCCTGGCTGTGTGGGTCAGTGTGGTCATAGTGTCCTGGCTGTGTGGGTCAGTGTGGTCGTAGTGTCCTGGCTGTGTGGGTGTTCCTGGCTGTGTAGTGGTCATAGTGTCCTGGCTGTGTGGGTCAGTGTGGTCATAGTGTCCTGGCTGTGTGGGTCAGTGTGGTCATAGTGTCCTGGCTGTGTGGGTCAGTGTGGTCATAGTGTCCTGGCTGTGTGGGTCAGTGTGGTCATAGTGTCCTGGCTGTGTGGGTCAGTGTGGTCATAGTGTCCTGGCTGTGTGGGTCAGTGTGGTCATAGTGTCCTGGCTGTGTGGGTCAGTGTGATAGTCATAGTGTCCTGGCTGTGTGGGTCAGTGTGGTCATAGTGTCCTGGCTGTGGGTCAGTGTGGTCATAGTGTCCTGGCTGTGTGGGTCATGTGGTCATAGTGTCCTGGCTGGTGTGTGTGGTCATAGTGTCCTGGCTGTGTCATCAGTGTGGTCATAGTGTGTCGCTGTGTGGGTCAGTGTGGTCATAGTGTCCTGGCTGTGTGGGTCAGTGTGGTCATAGTGTCCTGGCTGTGTGGGTCAGTGTGGTCATAGTGTCCTGGCTGTGTGGGTCAGTGTGGTCATAGTGTCCTGGCTGTGTGGGTCAGTGTGGTCATAGTGTCCTGGCTGTGTGGGTCAGTGTGGTCATAGTGTCCTGGCTGTGTGGGTCAGTGTGGTCATAGTGTCCTGGCTGTGTGGGTCATGTGGGGATAGTGTGGTCATAGTGTCCTGGCTGTGTGGGTCAGTGTGGTCATAGTGTCCTGGCTGTGTGGGTCAGTGTGGTCATAGTGTCCTGGCTGTGTGGGTCAGTGTGGTCATAGTGTCCTGGCTGTGTGGGTCATGTGGGGATAGTGTGGTCATAGTGTCCTGGCTGTGTGGGTCAGTGTGGTCATAGTGTCCTGGCTGTGTGGGTCAGTGTGGTCATAGTGTCCTGGCTGTGTGGGTCAGTGTGGTCATAGTGTCCTGGCTGTGTGGGTCATCATTCAGAGTATTCTGAATTGTGGTCATGCTTTCAACCTAGGGTTTTCATTGTCCGGACAAAACAGCCGTAATGTAACTACCAATGGCAAATGTTCACTTACTCCCTAGTCTGGAATGAAATTTCTGGCTTTAGACTTCAGACTTCTTGTTCTTCAGTGCCTGTAACCAAACCTCAGTTGACATTCTTCTGTCGTGT